GCTTGAAGAATCGCGCCGTGAATTTGTGGCTCTTGACCTCGTGGATCAGTTTCTGGCGCAGCGCCCCCTTGCGGCAGAAGAGCGGCTTGGTCAGGCACTCCAGCTCGGTGGGCGAGGTGACCAGCGCCATGGCCCCACCTGGGCCCCCCAGCCTCGGGCGGGGGGAAGAAAGACAAAAAGAGGAAGGGGCCCTGGAGGGATGGAGGGAAGGGAGGGACTGGGTGGATGGAGGAGTGAATAGAGAGGAGGGATGGATGCAGAGAAGGGAGGTCGAAGGGATGGAGGGATGCACAGAACAGAGAGGGGAAAGGAGAAGGCGGGGGGGACGGAGGGGTGCAGGAGGGAGAGGAGAGTTGGAGAGAAGAGGAGGCAGAGGAGGGAGGGAGGGAGAGAAGGGGAAGAGGCAGGGGACGGAGGGATGAGAGAAGGAAGGAAGGGAGGGATGAGAGAAGAGAAGGGGAGATGGGGGAATAGAGAGAAGGTAGAGGATGGATGGAGAGAAGGGGAGAAGGAGGGGTAGAGAGAAGGAAGGAAGGGAGGGATGAGAGAAGGACGGATGTGAGCAGGGAAGATAGAAGAGGAGGCAAGGGATGGAGGGAGAGAAGGAGGGGTAGAGAGAAAGAAGGAAGGGAGGGAGAGATGAGAGAAAGGGATAAAGAGAAGGAGGGATGAGAACAGGGGAGGTAGAAGAGGAGGCAGGGGACCGAGGGATGGGGGGTAGAGAGAAGGAGGGATGGAAGGGATAAGAAAAGAAGGGATGAGAGAAGAAGGGATAGAAGAGGAGGCAGGGACCGGAGGGCTGAAGGCGACGGCGGAGCGGAGGTTTCCAGCAGGCGCCGCAGGAGGCCGAGGTGGGGACGGGCGCGCCGGTAGGGGAGCTGACGGCCGGTCGGGCCGTGTGTCTGCTGTGGGGGGAGAGCAGGGCGGGGGGAGGCGGGTCTCTGACGGCTCCGGGGGGAGGAGTCGGCCTTAAAGGAGAAAGGGGCGGGGGGGCGTTCCCTGAGGGGGGCCTGAGGACACCCCCAAATGTAGAACCCCACCGTCCTGACACCCGAATCCCCCCCCAGATCCCAGATCCCCTCAGATCCCCCCAGATCCCAGCTCTGGGAGGCTACGGGGAGGAAAGAGGAGTGAGGTGGCTGGGAGCCAGGACTCCTGGGTTCTCTCCGGGGCTCTGGGCAGGGAGCGGGGACTAGTAGTTAGAACGGGGAGGCTGGGAGCCAGGACTCCTGGGTTCTCTCCGGGGCTCTGGGCAGGGAGCGGGGACTAGTAGTTAGAACGGGGGGGCTGGGAGCCAGAACTCGTGGGTTCTCTCCGGGGCTCTGGGCAGGGAGCGGGGACTAGTAGTTAGAACGGGGTGGCTGGGAGCCAGGACTCCTGGGTTCTCTGCAGTGACGTGGGGCTGTTTTGCTGCTGAGTGCCTGGCCGGGAGGTCAGAGTCCCCGGGCGAGGGGTGGTTAATCGATAACCAGGGGGAGGGGGCGATATATACCCAGGCCTCGGGGGCACTGGCTTCACAGGGACGTCGCAGGACCCCGCCCGTCATGCCCCACGGTGCCCCCCTCCTCCTGCTGCTTCTGCTGCCCTGGGGCAGTCACTGCACCACAGGTGAGGGGCAGGGGACCCCCCCCGGGCCTCCCATCCCTTCCCCCACCCGCTGGGCTCACATGCTTCCTCCTCCCCTCTCTGAGGGTTCCCCCCGACGCCCCTCCCCCTTCTCCCCTCCCTCGTCAGGGTAACCCCCCAGCTCACTCCCCCCCCCACCAGCCCAACTCCTACCCCACCCCCGCTGCCCTCGCGTCCCCTTCCCCCGTCCTCAGGCCTGTCCCCCTCCCCCACTAGGGAACCACCCCCCGCAGGCTCCCTGCCTTGTCCCCCTCCCTTCCCCCAAGGGGTCCTTCCACCCCCTTCCCTACCCCGCACCTCCAGGAAGGGGGGCTGTAGCCTGGGGGGAGGATCCCGCACCACCCCGGGAAGGGGGCTGTAGACTGTAGGGGGGATCCCGCACCCCCCCCCCACCCGGGAAGGGGGGTACAGACTGGAGGGGTTGACCCTGCCCCCCCCCCCCCCGAGGCTCAGACGCCTGCCCTTGTCCCATGTGATTTTGTTCCAGGTAATTGTCCCGGCCGGGTCTTTAGACAGCCCTTTGCTAGAAACCAGGGAGGGCCCCAGTTCTCAGCTCCAGAGAACCGACCCCGGGGCCCCCACCACGGGCTGAGCAGGGTAGATAGATAGAGAGAGGGGGTGGCTGGGGATAGATAGAGAGAGAGGGTGAAGGGAGATAGGTAGGGGATGAAGGGGGATGGATGGATAGATAGAGGGGGTGGATGGGGATAAATAGATAGAGAGGATGAAGGGAGATAGATAGGGGATGAAGGGGGATGGATAGATAGATAGAGGGGGTGGATGGGGATAAATAGATAGAGGGGGTGAAGGGAGATAGATAGGGGATGAAGGGGGATGGATGGATAGATAGAGGGGGTGGATGGGGATAAATAGATAGAGGGGGTGAAGGGAGATAGATAGGGGATGAAGGGGGATGGATGGATAAATAGAGGGGGTGGATGGGGATAGATAGAGAGGGTGAAGGGAGATAGATAGAGGGGATGGCTGGGGATAGATAGATAGAGGGGGTGGATGGGGATAGATAGATAGAGAGGGTGAAGGGAGATAGATAGGGGATGAAGGGGGTGGATAGATAGATAGAGGGGTGGATGGGGATAGATAGATAGATAGATAGATAGATAGATAGATAGATAGAGGATGAAGGGGGATGGATGGATAGATGGGTGGATGGGGACAGAGGGGGGCGGGTATGAGGCTGGACGGTGTAAGGGGCCAGGTGGACAGACAGGTGTCTGGGGGATGGACACCCCTCCAGGCTCCCCAGCCAGTACGGAGGGGAGAATTCTGTACCCCTCCCGGCCCCCACCCAGCAGGGCCCAGAGGCACGTGCAGACCTGCGCCTCTAGCGGGTGGCTATGGTGGGGATTGCAGGGGCCCTTCCCGGTAAAGTCAGGGGGGCTTCAGAGGGAAATGTTTGTATGCGGCCCACCCCCTGCTTCAAACTTCTCCATTTCTAACAGTACGGGGTGGGGATCCCTGTGGTAACAGCTGGCTGGGAGCCAGAGCACCTGGGTTCTCTCCCCAGCTCTGGGAGGGGAGTGGGGTCTAGTGGGTTAGAGTTGGAGCAGGGCTGGGAGCCAGGACTCCTGGGTTCTATTTGCTGTGACATCCTTCCCCTCCTTTTGCGCCTCAGTTTCCCAACCCATACAAACCACTCTAACAGCTCTCCTTCGTGTCCTGCCAGGCACAGATGGGCCCAGTCTCTGCCCAGCCCGGAGAGAGGAGCCAGCGGAGGGAACAGGCCAGACCTGCCAGAGGACCTGCACCCAGGACCGCGACTGCTCAGGCCGCAGGCAGTGCCTGTGCGATGGGGCCTGCGGGCTGAGCTGTGTGACACCCGGTAGGGGCCAGGACTGCTGCTGACTCCCAGCCCCCCTCCCAGCTCTAACCACTAGACCCCACTCCCCTCCCAGAGCCAGGACAGAACCCAGGAGTCCTGACTCCCAGCCCCCCAGTTCTAACCATTAGACCCCACTTCCCTCCCAGAGCCAGGACAGAACCCAGGAGTCCTGGCTCCCAGCCCCCCAGCTCTAACCACTAGACCCCACTCCCTGCCCAGAGCCGGGACAGAACCCAGGAGTCCTGGCTCCCTCCCTCCCAACTGTTTTTGTCCTTCCCAGGCCGGACCTGCCCATGGCCCGTGCAGATTGATAACGCCGAGACGCGTTTGGCCCAGGCTTCCCGTGGCTTCGGGGCCCTCATGGAGGTGACCTGCCAGCCGGGCTTCAGGCTGTCCAAAGGGGAGGGAGTGGCGCTGAGCCGATGCCAAGGGGACAGGAAGTGGAGTCTGACGGCACCCTGCGAACGTAAGGGACGGGAACGCCACCGCCAGTCACCAGCCAGGACCTTCACCATCATCCACCCTGCAGTGCCAAGCACCGTGACCCTACCTCCAGCACCGTCACCCAACATCCGCCCCCAACCCCGTCACCCCGCCCCCAACCCCATCACCCCGCCCCCAACCCCGTCACCCAACAGCCACCCTCAACACCATCACCCTGCTCCCAACACCATCACCCAACATCTGCGCCAACCCCATGACCCCGCCCCAACACCATCACCCAACAGCCGTCTCCAACTCCACCACCCTGCCCCCAAGACCATCACCCAACATCCTCTCTGGCCCCAACTCCCACCTCTGTCACCCCTCCCCAACCCCGTCACCCCGCCCCAACACCACCACCCAACAGCCACCCTCAATGCCATCACCCTGCCCCCAACACCATCACCCAACATCCACCCCCAACCCTGTCACCCTACCCCCAACCCCATCCCCTTCCCCCAGCACCGTCACCCAACACCCGCCCCCAACACCATCACCCTGCCCCAACACCATCACCCAACATCCACCCCCAACCCTGTCACCTCACCCCAACACTGTCACCTTCTCCCAACACCATCACCCAACACCCGCCCCCAATACCATCACCCCACCCCAACACCATCACCCAACATCTGCCCCAACCCTGTCACTCCACCCCCAACACTGTCACCTTCCCCCAGCACCGTCACCCAACACCCGACCCAAACACCATCATCCCGCCCCAACACCATCACCCAACATCCGCCCCCAACCCTGTCACCCCACCCCAACACTGTCACCCCACCCCGAAGACTGTCACCCCGCCTCCAACACTATCACCCAACACCCACCCCAGCTCTGTGACCCTGCCCCAATACCATCATACAACACAATACATCTCAACACACTCACCCCACCCTTAACATTGTCTCCCAACAGTCACTCCCAACACCATCACTCCACCCCAACACTGTCACCCAATACCAGCCCCCAATACTGTCACCTTCCCCCAACACCATCATCCAACACCCACCCTCAACACCATCACCCCATCCCAAACAGTGTCACCCAGTCCCTGCCCCATCATGATCACCCCACCCCAACACCATCACCTGACCCCAACATAGTCACCACGCCCCAACACCTGTCCCCAACACTGTCACCCCAACACCTGCCAACAACACTGTCACCCTGCCCCCAAAACTCAACACCATCACCCACTCCCAGAACCCACCACCAACACTGTCACCCAACACAAACTACCAAAACACAATAGTGTCACCCACACCCAACACCTGCTGCCAACACCAACACCATCACCGTATATCAGTCACCAACACCCCACAACATCACTTCACACCTCCAGCCTTCTCCACCTTCCACCCTGCATCATCAGCTGCCAACACTGTAACAGAAAAACCAACACACAAGGTCCTGGATTGTTTTTTCTTGTTTCCTGGTCTCTTTACAGATGTCCCAAAACTGGGGAGAGAACCCAGGAGTCCTGACTCCCAGCCCCCCTGCTCTAACCAATAGACCCCACTCCCTTCCCAGAGCTGGGGAGAGAACCCAGGCGTCCTGGCTCCCAGCCACTCACGCTGGCAGTTGCCAAGGGCAGGTTGCTCTCTAGGCAGTGAACTGATCAGGATGAGTCCCGGGGCCGATTCAAGGGTAACGGATCCCCTGGCAAGCAGAGACCTAGATAGGGAGGCAAAGCAGCTATCCTGGTCCTGCGTCCTCCCCCAGCCCGCCCCCAGGCGGAGCCAGGGGACCCAGCATCTGGAGCAAGGGGGCCGGCGCTAAATAGGGTTAAGGGGCCGCCTCCCCGGAGGGATCGAGCTCTGGGCCAGATGGAAACTGTCCCATCGCCCCCACGACAGTACACTTGGGGGAGGGGCTGGGAGCCAGGACTCCTGGGTTCTCTCCCCGGCCCCGGGAGGGGAGTGGGCTCTAGTGGTCAGAGCAGGAGGGGCTGAGAGGCAGGACTCCTGGGGTCTATCCCAGCTCTGGAAGGACAATGCGGGTGGGGGGGGGGGCTGGGAGACAGAACCTTCACTTCCAAAATCAATTGACTCCCCTGAATTTTCCCCTCAAAGCCAGGACTCTGCCTCCTCCCCTAAAATGCCAGTGAAATAAGAGAAACTTTCCCCTCCGAGCCCCAGATGCTGCCCCCCCAAAAAAATTAGAGCCAGATTCTCAATCTAAACTCTGAACCCCCAAATTGGGTGACCCCTCCACTCCGAGGTGATCTCTGACCCTTGGGCTCCGAAGTCTTCTTTATTCTCCCCCTCCCCCTGCCACCCAGGAGAAAGATGGAGCCTGTTGGGGGGAGGAGAACCCAGGAGTCCGGGAGAAGCAGCACGCGGGGAGGGACCTACTCCCAGCGAAACCCATGGGGTTCCCCCCCTTGTCTGGGAATTACAGCCTCGGGGGCGGGAGGGGAAGGCTTTGGAGAAGGAGAGGTGGGGCTAAATAAGGGGAGGAGCCAAATGTGGAATGGGATGGGGCCTGCTGGGAGGGGGAGGAGGCAAATGGGGCAGAAGGGGAGGCATTTACACTGAGAAGGAGGGGCCCAATGTCTTACAATGGCAAATAAGGGAAGTGCAGGGTTTAATGCGACACTGAAGGGCCCAATGGGGATGGAGTCTACTAAGAGGGAGGGGCAAATGGGAAAGGGGAGGGGCCTATTGGAAGAGGGCGGGGCAAGGGCCTGTCTCTTAAAGGGAGACTGCCCCGCCCCCTGACGGTGTTTAAGGGGAAGGAACCTAAAAAAATCTTCCCCTTGCTGAGGCCTTTAATGGCTCTTTGTGTCTGGAGGATGCCAAGGGTTAAGGGGGGAGGAACTTGGCTGTGAGACAGGGGTGACCCCCCCCCCTCAGTTGACTCCCCTCCCCCTTCCGTCCTCTGTTCCAGGGGATCTGACCCCGGCATCCTTCTGCAGCCCCCCGCCAGAGACCGACAATGGCTTTTACAGTGGCGCCTCCTACAGGGCAGGCGGGGAGGTGCGGTACAAATGCAAGCGCGGGTGAGTTTCCCCCCCCCCCCAGCTCTGCCGGTGCCCCTCACTCCCAACCCGCAGCCCCTGCCAGCCCAGCCCAGGGCTCCCCCCCATCCCTGCCAGTGCCCCTCAATCCCGACCTGCAGCCCCGCTAGTCCAACCCTGGGCTCCCCCCAGCTCTGCCGGTGCCCCTCACTCCCGACCCGCAGCCCCGCTAGCCCAACCCTGGGCTCCCCCCAGCTCTGCCGGTGCCCCTCACTTCCGACCCACAGGCCCCCAGAGAGCCCAGCCCCATCTCCACCCTCACCTCTCCCTCCCATCCAGGTACCGGCTGGAGGGCCCAGAGACCATCCGATGCCAGGAGAACCAGGAGTGGTCTGGACCTGCCCCGACCTGCCGCCGTGAGTAGGGGGAAGGGGGGCATGAGGGGGGTCCCGGTTTCTCTCTGTCCCCGTCTGCCCCCATGCCAGGGCTGGCCCATCCTCCCAGGCTCCAGCGCCAGGCCAGGCCCCCTCCCAGCTGGGAGGGAATGTGGGGGGCTGGGACTGTGCTCTTGGAAGGGGGTGCAAGGGAGCCTGGGGGATGCCCTAGAGAGAGAGATCCCCCCCATATACCCTGCATCCCTGTACCCTCCACATCGCTTCCAGCCAACCAGCCCCCACACCCCCATTCGCCCCACACACCCCTCCAGCCATCCAACCCCACATCCCTCCAACCATCCACCCCCACACCCTCACCCACCCCATATACCCTGCATCCCGGTACCCCCCACATGGCTTCCAGCCACCCACACCTCACACCCCCATCCGCCCCCCTCATACGCCTGCATCCATGTACGCCCCACGCAACCTGCATCTCTCCACCCAGCCCTTTGTCCTTCCCTCCCTCCACCCCCCGCCCCACTCTGTCCATGCTCAGGGCCTGTCCGTGACCCCGTCTCTCCCCCAGCCGTGTTCTGCCCGCCCCCCGGGGACATCGCTGAGGGCTACCTGGTGGCGGTGGAGAAGCCTCAGTACCGGGCCGGGGAGCTGGTCTATTACCTCTGCAAGCGCAGCTACCTGCTGGATGGCACCAACCGGGTCACCTGCCGGGGCAACGGCACCTGGTCGCCCCGGCCCTTCTGCAGAGGTACCGCCCCTCCTCCGCTCCCCTCCTCCCCAGAACCCCCAGCCGGAGCCAT